TTAATGACATATTGCAAAATATATTTACTATCCTGCTTTCTGCCTTTTTTGATCCCATATGTTTTTTGTGATTTACTTTTTATTTTTTGTTTTATTTTGAGTTAATCATGTATTTTTTTAATATTTCATTTTTTTTGCTTTGTTGCTAGGGATTCAATGTGTATCTTAAACATCATAATCTATCTTGAATAGATTATATACAACTTCTTTTTTAATGTGAAAACCATACGGCAGTATAATTCAATTTACCTCACTAATATCTTTGTGCTATTGTTATATTATTGTTTTCCCCACCTATTTTTTCTGACTGCTTTAAAGATTTTTTTTATCTTCATGTTTCAGCAGTTTGATAAGATATACCTAGATGAGGTCTCCAGTGTATTTATTCTGTTGGAATCCATCAAGCTTTGAGATGATGTTTTCATTAAATTTGCAAAATTTTATTCATTACCTGCTGAGATATTGTATTGCCTCTCTTCATTCTTTTTTATGACACTCTGATTACACGTATATTAGGCTTCTTGATTTCATGTAAGAAAGCACTCAAACTGTTTATTTCAATGCATTCTCTTTCTGTGCTTTAGTTTAGACAACATACATTACCTTATCTTAAAGTTCACCAACCCCTTTTGTGGTGTCTGTCAGTTGTTAAGCTCCACTCAATAAAATTTTATTTCAAGTATAGTAATTTTCACCTTTAGGATTATCTTTGATTCCTTTGTAGTGTTTTAAAAATACACCTCCTGTTATCTATCCCCTTATCCTTTCATTTAAATTCTTTCATCTTATCAATAATAAAGTTTTAAAATTTTGTCTGGTAATTCCATATCTGGGTCATTAGTGTGTTTGCTTCCACTAACTATTTTTCTGTTGATTATAGATTATATTTTCCTGGTTATTCAGATGTTTTATAATTTTTTATTTTATCCCAAGCATTATATTTAGAAGAACACTTGAAATTGTGGTATAATATTTTGTTTTCTAGAGAATGCTTGCTTTTTCCATTCTTGCATTTGGGTGAAAGCCTAATCATTGTCATTCCTCTAAGAATTGAATTGAACAGGAACTGATCCATATGTTTAATTAGGTTGAGTTCTTTTATGTGATGTCTAATCCACAATCTATCTTATTGCTGCTTCTCCTAAGGTGCCAATTTCTTTGATCTTGCCAGAATTTTAGCTGACAGGACTTTGGACTTTAAACTTAAATGATTTTGGTGCACATTTTGATTCAGTTCTGGCAGAACTTCAAAATACAATTACCACAAGAACATGCAGTATGAGATTTCTTTGCCTTTTAGCTCCTCTTTTTTTATAGTTGTGTAATTGGCACCACAATCAGATTATTAATATAAAACATTTTGACTAGTCCCCAAATCTTCTTTGTAGCCTTTTCCAGTTAATTTTCTTCTACCCTGGCTGTATACAACCACTGATCTATCACTATAGTTTTGCCTTTCCTAAAATTTCATATAAATAAAATCAAACAGTATATAGTTTCTCACTTCTGATGTTTTTGAGATTTGTCATTTTGTTCTATGTTTCAGTAGTTGTTTCCTTTTATAGTGAAGAGGATTCCACTTCATGGCTCTCCTACAATTTGTTTATTCTTTCACCAGTTAATAAACATTTGGGTTATTGGATCCAGTAACTATTGTGGCTATTATAAATGAAATTTTTATGAACATTTGTGCATAAGTCTTTGTGAGGACATAAGTTTTCATTAATTTTGGATAATTACTTTGAGTAGGATTTGTGGGTTATATTTTAAGTATACATTTAACTTTATGAGCAATTGCCAAGTCTTTTCCCAACATGAAAGTACCATTTTGTGTTCCTACCAGCTCTCTATGAAAGTTCCAGTAGCTCCATGTTCTTATTAAAATTGATATTCTCAGTATTTTTAATTTTGACCATTGTTAATGGCTATGTAGTCCTCATTTTCTGCCTCCTTCCAAGCAAATTTCAGATAGGGAATGGTTTGGTGAGAGAAAACTGGTTGGTCTGAGTGATTTGCTTTAGCAGTTTTTCTCAGTCCAGTCTCTCTGTGAATCTAAATGGCTGTTAAAGGCCCAGTTGGTTTTTCTTCATCCTCTAAATTCTGCTTCTCAATGATGGCCTGCTTTTTGACTGCATACATTAGGCTAAGTGCTTTCCTCCCTTGGGCACACCCCTTTTAGGTATGGATAAGGCCTTGGTTCTTCACACATCTACAAGTGTTTGTTCTCTGGAATTTGATTCATCAGATTTTCCTTGTGTTCTTTTCTTTTCAGTATCCTCAAAGAAAAACATGATAATTATTTTATATATATTTTTTATTTTGGGGATGTTAACACTGAAGTGATGGCTTTTCATGTCTTTTTACATCCTAATCATGAGTGGCATTTTTCTCTCACCCCACCTTTAAGGATATTTTTAGAATTGCCACACAACAATTTTTTCTCTCATTGGCATGATTGAGAAATAGAGCTACACAATTAGTAAAGAAGACTGGAAATTTATAATTACTAATATTATTATTAGCTATGTACATTGCTATTCCAACAAAATAGAGGTCCTGCCAATAATATTTTATTATGGATTTTAGCATTTATGTTTATCAGAGATAGTAGCTTGTAATTTCCTTTTTTTGGTAATGTATTTATCTGGCTTTAGAATTAGGGTAGTGCTGGCCTTGTAAAATGGACTTGGGAGCTTTCCTTCCTCTTGAATATTTTGAAGTACTTTGAAGAGGAGAAGTGTTAGCTCTTTTCAGAATATTTGGTAAAATTCACCCATGAAGCCATCTGGTCCAGGGCTTTTTTTTTTTTTAATTACTGCTTCAATTTCACTAAGTGTAATCTGTCTATTCAGATTCCTTGATTCTTTCTGATTTAGTTTAGGAAGATTGTATGTTTCTAGAAATTTATGTATTTCATCCAGGTTGTCCAGTTTGTTGGTACATAGTTGTTCATAATATTTTCTTACCATAGAATTTATGGTAATATTTTCTTACAATAGAATTTATTTGATGTCATTTGTTATTTCTCCTCCTTCATGTCTGATTTTATTTATTTGGGCCCTCTCTCTTTTTTCTGGATGAATCTGATTAAATGTTTGTAAAACTTATCTTTTTGAAGAACCAGCTCTTGGATTTTTTGATCTTTTGCATCTTTTAAAAAAACTCTATTTCTTTTATTTCTGCTCTGATCTTAATTATTGCCATCTTTTTTACTCACTTTGGGCTTTGTTTGTTGTTCTTTTTCAAGTTTCTTTAAGTTTAAAGTCAGTTGTTTATTTTGGATTGTTTTGTTTTTATTTTCATTTGTTTCAAGATATCTTTTGATTTGTTCCTTGATTTCATTGTTGACCCCTTCATTGTTTAATAACATATTATTTACTTTCCATGTCTTTACATGTTTTTCAGTATTCTTCTTATGATTGATTTCTAGTTTCATAGCATTGTAATCAGAGAAGATACTTGATATGATTTCAGTCTTCTTAAATTTATTGAAACTTGTTTTGTATCCTAACATGTGGTCTACCCTAGAAAATGTTTCATGTGCACTTTAAAAGCATGTATATTCTGCTGTCTGGGGATAAATTGCTCTGAAGATGTCTATTAAGTCCATTTGATCTAGTGTGTTGTTTAAGACCACTGTCTCCTTATTTATTTTCTGTCTGTAAGAGCTATGCATTGAAATCATTGGGGTGTTAAAATTCCCATTGTAAATTCCTCCTAATGTCCATAAAAATTTGCTTTAAATATTTTGATGCTTCTGTGTTGGTTGCACAAATGTTTACTAGGGTTATATACTCTTGTTGGATTGTTTCCTTTATCATTATGTGGTATCCTTCTGTGTCTCTTACTATAGATTAGGTTTTAAAGTCGATTTTGTCAGATATAATGCCCAGATTTGTCAGATATTTTGTCCAGCTTTTTTTCCCTTTTCATTTGCATGAAATATGGTGAAGTGGTTTCTTCTGTCTGTCCTTGGTTATAAGGCTTCTGTCAAGTTAGTGTTCAGTTAGTTATTCAGGATGATTGCTCTACAATTTAGTTGTAATTCCAGATCAGTCCTCTGAAGAGGTTAGTGCAGCTTCCATTTACTACTCTACCTTGTTGGGTCTCCACATTGTAACATTTAATCTGGAACTATTATTTTCTCAAAGTTTTCTGTTGACTATTAAGTGAGGGTGAAAGACTACAGCTCTTGGAAAATATACCCTATAATCAGAAGTCATAATTAGCATTCATTTTTAACACAAAGAGATATTTATAATGTATACACATAATGATTACTTTTTTGTGACCACCCATAGCCTTTTAGGAGTTTAAGGCTGCAATGCTTGATTTTCTACAACTATGCCATTAATGAGTCACTACCACAATGTACTTATACATTTTCTTTCTGGGAGAATTTGCTAGTATAGAATTTAGAGCATTGCTTCTTGTCTTATATGTTTGAATGAATGTACTGTATTTTGCCATGTAAAATGTGCTCCTATGTATAATGCACACCCATGTTTTTGGTCCAAACTTTCAGGGAAAAAACTTTCATTTTATTTTTTAAAATTCAATTATTTATTTATTTATTTATTTATATTTAGATATTTGGGTTTTTTTTTGTATTGTTAAGGAATCTTAACATTTATTTTTGAACTTGTTATGGTACAAAAAGTTTTATATAAAAAGTAATTACAAAACACAAGAACAGATATAAGGTTTATAATGCAAACCCTTATTTTCCTACAAAAAATTTGGACAAAAAAGTGTGCATTATACACAGCAAAATAAGGTAAGTTACATACACAAAATTATTTTCAAAACTAGGACACATGGACAAAAACTAGAGGAGTGTGGAAATGGGAAGGAGGTGGGGAGCACTGGGATGGAAGTAAAAGACAGAAAACTATACTTGGACAACAATTAAAATTAAAAAATGAGAAAAAATAAAATATAGATGAATATACATATAGATTCTGAAATAAAGGCAACTTTCTGTTTTGTTATTTTCAAAGGTTGGGGATGATCCGAATTCATTCATGGCATGTTCACAGTTTGCAGCTCAGCTAGAAGAAGCAGTTAAAGAGGAACATCATGTATGTATTCTCTGCAAACTGCTAAGTATAAAATATTGCTTACCACTTTAACAATTTAAAGTTAATGATATCAATAAAACAAAACTATGTAATTAATTATTATTAACAATAATTTTAGCAATACATTATTTAAAGTTACATTGGTTATTTGACTCAGATGTGATTATCTGGTCAGCATTATTAGCCTAAATACAATGCCTTAAGTAGTTATAAAGAGCATGAGAAAGCATTATTTATTTTTCCTTATTGCCAACACAGGCATTTAGATCTGTGAGTTTTCCTTTAAGTAAAGCATGGATTGGGTCATTTGTATTTACATATGTAGTATTTATATTTTATTGTGTGTTTTTATAAGTTAATATTACAAAAGTAACATAATTAATAAAGATTAAAAATTTGAAGACATGCAAAAAGGAGAAAATAAAAATTCCTATAATTTTATTTCTCCAGGGTAACCAACTCTTGTAAACATATATTTGTTCACCTTCCCAGTTTTCCTTAGTTATATATATATATATATATATATATATATATATATATATATATATATATATATATATAAAACTAAAGAAATGCATATATGTCACACACACACACATACATATTTCTTTAAAAATGAAATTATATTTTGAATACTATTTGGTAATCACTTTTTTGAGTTTTAAAAAATAACATGTTTTACATGATTATAAAAGTATTCTTGTAGAATATTTGAAAAAGTGAGAAAAGTAAAAGGGGAAAAAGTTATATGTAATCTCACACTAATATATATTATCATGGATATTATAGAATACATTTTTAGCGTTTTACAGTATATATGTATGCACATATATGCATGTATACATGTATATACATTTATATGTACATTTATAGATACATTTTTTTCAGTCTTTATTGTGGTTTATTTATTTATAAAATAAACATAACATAAAATTATCTTAACCATTTTTAAGAAAGAGTTCAGTGGTATTAAGTGCATTTATATTATGCAAGCATCACTACTACTTATTAGAACTTCTCACCTTGTAGAACTTAAACTCTGTGCCCATTAAACAATATTGAACTCTCTATGACTTCCTCTCCCTGGGCACTGGTAACCACCATTCTACAATTTGTTACTTGGCTTTTTTCCTTTTAGGTTCCACATATAAGTTAGGTCATGCAATATTTGTTTTTCTCTTTCTGGCTTATTTCACTTAACATGTTTTCTGTATTTATTTATGTTGTCACAAATGGCAAGATTTAATTTTTATAACTGAATAATATTCCATTGTATATACAAGATCTGTCCAGGAAAAGCCCAATCATTGTTAATATAACAAGAATGGTTTGTGTGACATCAATGTAACCTGGCAGCCAAGGAGAGTGCATTCCAGCCCACTTGCTGTCCAGAATGTGTGGACAAAGATGACTGCACTGTACTAGTCAGCGTTAGATGGTGGTGTTGAGTGAGCAGGTGCACCGTGTAGCCATGCATTCAAAATGAATGAATGCATAGAGCAACAAATCTGTGTTAAATTTTACATTAAGCTTGAGCATTCCTCTCTAGAAACTGTTCAGATGATTGAGAAGGCTGCAACTATGGGCAACTGGTGGTTGGCAGCTTCATCAAGACAGTGAACCCACTCATGCATTACATCTGGTGCACAGTTTTTTGGCAAAACATCAAATCACCCATGTGACCCAGACCTGCAATAGCCCAGATTTGGTCTCCTGTGACTCCTGGCTCTTCCCAAAACTAAAATCACCTTTGTAAGGGAAGAGATTTCAGGCCTTCAATAAGATTCAGGAAAATAATACAGGGCAGCTGATGGCGATTGAGAGAACTGTGTGAGGTCCCAAAGTGCTTACTTTGAAGGAGACTGAGGTGTCATTGTCCTGTGTACAATGTTTCATGTATCTTGTATCTTCTTCCATAAATGTATCTATTTTTCATAGTACATGGGTGGATACTTTCTAAAGAGACCTCATGTTTATCATACTTCTTTATTCATAAAGTGTCCACTTTACGCATAAAGTGTCCACTTCCATCAGTGGACAGTTACATTGTTTCCATATTTTGGCTGTTGTGAATAATGCTGCAGTGACTGTGGGAGTGCAGATAGACAACTCTTTGAAATACTGGTTTTGTTTACTTTGGATGTACATATGTAGTAGGATTGCTAGATCATACGGTTATTTAATAAAATATTTCAAAATTCTTGAGGAACCTCCATATGATTTTTCATAATGGCTGTACCAATTTATCAAAGGTTTCTTTCTTTACATTCTCACAGACATGTTCTCTCTCTCTTTGATAATAGCCATTCTAACAGGTGTGGTGCTTTTTAAAAATTGTTGTTCAAGTAGTTTTCTTCTTTTTCCACCCACCCCTCCCCAACCCCAGGACTTCTCACCTCCCTCCCCTGTTTTCCACCCTGCCTCGTTATGGTCCACATGTCCTTTATAATTGTTCCTGTAAACCCTTCAAACTTTTCCCCAATTATCTCCTCCCCTCTGGTCACTGTCAGCCTGTTCTCAATTTCAATGTCTTTGGCTATACTTTGCTTACTTGTTCATTCTGTTGATTAGGTTCCTGTTAAAGGAGAGATCATATGATATTTGTCTTTCACTGCCTGGCTTATTTCACTTCAATACTCTCCAGTTCCATTCACACTGTCCTAAAGGGTAGGAGCTCCTTCTCTCTTTCTGCTGTGTAGAATTCCATTGTGCAAATGTACCATAGTTTTTGATCCATTTATTTACTGATGGGCACTTAGGTTGCTCAGGGCATTTTATTTTTATTTTTTAAAATCACTTTTATTTTTTATTACAGTTGACACATATTATTGTATTAGTTTCAGGTGTACAACTCACTGATTAGACATTATATAATTTACTAAGTGATCATACAGTTGAAGCTCACACCCATGTGACACCAGAGGTAGTTATTAGAATATTATTGACTATATTCCCTAGGCTGCACTTTCCATCCCCATGACTAATATTCACCCCAGACCCCAGCCATCCCCACCCCCCTCCCTGTTTCCACTCCTTGTTTTTGTCCATGTGTCCTTTATAGTTGTTCCTGTAAGCCCTTTCCCCCTTTCCCCCCATTATTCCCTCCCATCTCCCATTTGGTTACTGTCAGTTTGTTCTCAATTTCAATGTCTCTGGTTATATTTTGCTCTGTTGCTTGCTTTGTTGATTAGGTTCTATTTAAAGGTGAGATCATATGGTATTTGTCTTTCACTTCCTGGCTTATTTCACTTAGCAAAATGCTCTCCAGTTCCATCCATGCTGTTGCAAAGGGTAGGAGCTAACAGGTGTGATTTTGATTTGTATTTCCCTGATGATTACTGATGTTGAGCAACTTTTTATGTACCCGTTGGCCATATGTATGTCTTTTTTGGAAAAAATTTTATTTGTCTAGTTTTTTGCCCATTGTAATCAGGTTATTTATTTATTTATTTATTTATTTTCTTCCTATGGAATTGTATGACTTTCTTATATGTTTTAAATATTAATCTCTTATAAATATATGGTTTGCAAATATTTTCTTCCAATCAATAGATTGCCTTTTCATTTTGTTGAGTGTTTCATGTATTGAACAGTATCTTTTTAATTTGATGTAGTCTCACTTGCTCATTTTTGCATTTTAAAAAAAATATTTTATTGTGTATGCTATTACAGTTGTCCCCACCTTTTGTTATGCCTGGACTTTTGGTGTCATTCAAAAAAATCATTGTCAAAAATCAGTGTCCTAAAGTTTGTTTTTTATGTTTTCCTTCAGGAGTACAGTAGGTTTAGATCTTACATTTAGGTCATGGATTCATTCTCGGTCAATTTTTGTACATACTGTAATGGGAGATTCCATCTTTATTCTTTTGCATGTGGATACCCAGTTTTCCTAGTACTCTTCATTGAAGAGATTGTTCTTTGCCATTTTGTTGTCTCAATAGCCTTGTCAAAAATCATTTTGCTATATATGCAAGACTATATTTCTGACTTTTAAATTCTGTTTCATTGTTCTATGTATGTATCTTCTTAATTATTGTTTTAATTTTTATATTAAAAATAGATATAATTAATATATAATACTGTATTAACTTACTTGAATTTTTTAATCCTCACCCCAGGACATATTAATTGATTTTAGAGAGAGAAAAAAGGAAAGAGAGAGATAGAGAAATGTCAATTGGTTGTCTCTACCCTCTGACAGGGCAGCAAACCTACAACCTACATATGTGTCCTGACCTGGAACTGAAGCAGCAGACTTTTGGTGTATGGAATGATGCTCCAACCAACAGAGCCACACTGACCAGGGCAATATGTTTCTATCTTTATGCCAGCACAACTCTGTCTTAATTACTGTTGCTGTTGTATATTTTAAAATCAGGAAGTTTGAGGCCTCCAACTTTGTTTTTCTTTTTCAAGATTGTTTTAGCTATTCAGTGTCACTTGAGATTACATAGGAATTTTAGTATGTTTTTTTATATTTCTGCAAAAAGTTTGATTTGAATTTTGATAGAGATTACAATGAATTTGTAGATCACTTTGATAATGTGGGCATTTAAAAATATTGTCTGCCACTTTCGAGCATGGAATGTCTTTCCATTTATCATATCTCTTTTGATACTTTAGTAATGTTTTATAGTTTTCTGTGCACAGATCTTTCATTTATTTCATTAAATTTATTCCTAAATATTTTTATTTTTTGATGAGATAGTAAATGGGATTGTTTTCTTAGTTTAGTTTTGGATTGGTCATTGTTGACATGAAGAATTTAATTTTTGAATGTTGATTTTGTATCATTCAACTTTGCTGAGTCTTAAATTAGTTTGAATATTTTTTGTGGACTCTTTAGGGTTTTATACATGTAACATCATGTCATTTGCAAACAGATAATTTTCCTTCTTTTTTCCCAAAATTTTCTGCTTTTTATTGTCTTTTCTTTGCTGATTGTTCCATCTAGAACTTCCAGTACTATGCTGAATAGTGATGGTGAGAGTGGGCAGGCA